AAACTGAACTGCGGCAACAATCGCATAAATCTAAACCATTTTTTTACAAACGAAAAACATGAACAGCGGGACAAATTCGGTGATTGATGAATTGAACGAGAGTTACGCATACGCCATGTGGGCCGGGCAAAAAGTTGCAATAATTTCATTTAACATGCATAGCCAAACTGGCAAACTGTCACAACCCGGCACCCGAGCCAAGCCCACGAAATAAACCGATACCAAAGCCCAGGGCCACCCAGAACGATTCCCGATTTTGGTGCAATTTATGACTTTGGCCTGGATGCACTCGTCACAAATGCCAAAGTCGATTTCCCGGCCTCTCGCGTGCTTTTGAATGGCTCTCAATGGCTCGAAAATCTATGCATTTTGGAATATTTCTATGGATGAAAAGCAGGAAAACAGGAAACCAGGAGAATTTAAGGAGCCAGCAAAATGTAGTTGTGTGTTAGCCAACACAATTGAGTATTGGAAATCCATTTTCCCAGGTCCATATATATATGTATACACACTGAATGCGAGTGCTGCACATTTGATTACTACTGTGGGCGGTACTGAAGGCCACGGGAGCGAGCTAATGCGATTTGCGCCTGGGCTGCTGATTGTTACCGCCGATTCTGCCTCGGCCACATCATTTGCCGGTTGCCGTTTGCCGTTTGCATTTGCCTTTTTCCAATGACATTATTTACTTAGCATTTGCATTTGCATTTGCAATTTTGCATGCTGTGCATTGGCAATTGCCATCGCAAACACACACGAAATGCCAAAGGATAGTTGATTTTTACGTCTGCTGATTGTGCGCCCATTATGTTTATTTGGTCCCCAATAATGAATGCTACAATTAATTCGAAATAGCAATCAAAATGGGCTCAAACTATCCTCTTACAGAGTGACCAAGGGCATTTTGTGCATTTCCTATCTGAATTATGTGCTCCTTGTGGCAAATTGAGACTGAAAATGGCCGAAACAAGCTGCCAATCAAATGGCAAAGGGCTTAGAATGGCCTCATTTAGGAGCAAAGGGGCCCCTTCTGTGCCGAGTTTTTAGTTTCAACAGGGAAAATTAAATTTGTCGCTTCAATTTTCTCTATTTTTCTTCGATTTTTTGCAGATTTTGTGTGCGAAACAAAATAAAAGTCGAACTTGCATTCTCAGCCTTTTGCCAGGCAACTCAAATAGAATGCCTGAAAATATTCGAAAAGCATTTTCAGCATGTTGCTGAGAGAGGGAAATGTTTTAAAAAACTCGTTCTATGCCGGAACTATGGGCTCAGGTTTTTCCTGCCCGAAACCGCACTGGCGGTGGCAAAATGTTTGATTAAATTTTCATTCTCGAGAGCAAAATTTTGCGGTTACTCATAAGCTTTACAGGCCCTTTACCTGGGCTCAAAAGTTTCGAATCATTTGGGCTAAAATATGGCCGCCAGGTAAATGCGATGATGAGGCAATTTATTTGTGTTTATTTTCGGCATTTCGGCATTCGTTTTCCGTTCTTTCCCCAGCATTTCTTTTCACTTCTTTGTCGATATTTTACAGGAGCCTTGGCCCAGACCCTCGAAACATTGAGATGATTAAGTGTTCGCTGGCGGGGCAAGTATTAATAAACTTACAGCGGTGGAAAAATATGCTTGTATGGCAAAGGAATGACCACCGATCCGGGGAAACGGCTTGTAAAGGGAGCGACAATATAATTTAAATTTATTTAACAACCGACTTGTTAAAATCGTAAACCGAGAGGGATGGGTCCACATAGCAAATACACACATACAAACTGACGTAGAAATTGCACCACAACAACATTAAGTAGCTCATTAAATTTCCTTAACCAACAGAACACAACACAAACAAGCCACTGGCAGACCAACTGACTTTTCGTTTTTATTTTGTAAGTAGGAAATATTATAGTAGAAAAACGGCGCCGAAAGAAATGAAATCGCCGGGGAGGGCCGGCGTCAGAGAGAGAGGGGGCGTGGCAGCGGACTGCGGACTGTGGACTGCCTCAAAGCGAGCGAGCTGTAAAAAACCCCGTAAGTGTATTTTTATTGCGTATAAAATGCATTTTGCAATGCCACACAAAACTCAAGTGGTGTGCGTTCTGAGCGGAAGTTACGACCAGCGGGCTAGGACCACAAACACACCCATACACACACCTCCAAAGCACACAAAGATACTCTCTGGTTTGCGGCGGCTCTGTGTGGGTGGACGCTTATGTGTGCTCCACGAAATCTTGATGTCGGAAGTTATGGACTACGAAATCAAGGAAATCGCTGGAAATTTCTTACTCTTGCTATTGCATTTTTGAAATAATTTTCATTTAGAGGTAGGGCAATCAAGCGGAAGCAATCTAAAAATGTTGGAAATATTTAAATATTTATTGTTTACCTACTATTTAATACCGCACGAGTCCATAAATAAACGATTTTACCACAAAATAAAACATTTTCAGTTTGGCCAGATAGATTCTAACACACCACAGGTTTTTAATTGCCTGGCTAATTGTGAAAATATTGCAAAATGTAGGACAACAATTTTAAAATATACTTTGCTGGAAAGCAAAGCCAAAATAAATGAATTCGGGTTTTTAGCAAACAAGACCAAACAAAACTCATTAAAATAACTTAAACGTTGTTCGCAATAAAGGCTAAATATGATCACTTGAGTCAACAGAACAAAGCACTTAAATGCGTACCAAATATTCAAGACGTACATTACTTACACTCAAGTCCCCGGCAGGACTTAATCATACTTTCCCTAAAGCAAACTTCTTCAGCCAGTGCAAATACCCCAGTCAAGTAAAACAAACGAGTTGGCAAGCAATGATTGCTCAGCATTGCTACTTGTTGTTAAATATGTTGCACAAACAAACAACATTCATTACACCAGCAAGTGGGGCTTGTTCGCAGGGAATGGGGCAGAAATGAAGGATCGTTTATGTGAATGCTGGGAAAATTGGCTGTGCAGTGTGTAAAAATCGAAAGAAGCTATTGCCAAAAGGTGAAAGTTAAGCGCGGGTTAACTTATTTCAACGGTGATGGCATCGTGTTTTACACCTTGTTCAAGTTAAAGGTTCAATCAAACGGAGTTTACCCAGGGCGTATGGGTGATAAAAATAGCTGAGGTTATCCTCTGGGTGTGTTTTATGTTAATCATGTTCAGTGAATAAAAATAAATGGCAATCCATTTGGTATGATTTACAAAACAACCATTTCTCAAAGGGTAACCATCGCCTATGACCATTCCCATTTGAGTAATATACATCTCATTCTATTGCTTTAATAAAGTTGCAAGTAAAGTTGTATCAATAAAACCGCACAGCGAACGAACCACAACGAGTACAAGTAATAAACACTTTATTCAACTGAGTGAGTAATCCAAATCCCATTCAACTACTGGTTGCCCAGTGCGTATGGGTAATAAAAATCCATTGCTCTACGATGGCCAGCTTGTGGCTTTAAGTTATGCATAAGTTGGACTTTTTTCCAGACACTCTTTTCGAGCACTATTAATTATAATTTTTTCTCCGGCTATTCTGGCAACATATGTATGTATGGACACAGACACGGGTGTCGGCCAAACATTTTTAAAATTATATATATACATTCCTTATATGTATTTATAAAAAAAAGGGAGAACAGACACCGACACGGACACTGACACGCTCACATGTGCCGGAAATTGGCGCACACCTTGCAGCCATGCAGTGGCAAGAATTTTTCCATAAGCATCATAAAACCAGGGGCTGACCGGACGACGGTCAGGCCATTGGATATATGCGGCGTGGCAGCGTAAATGGGGACTGGGGGCAGCTCAGCATGCGGAAATTATAATTTATAGCTGTGAGCTGCGGATGCCAGAGCATTCACTGTGATTTTTTACCCGTGTGAGAGGGCTTTTCTTCTTGCCAGCGACTTTAAAATCGGGGGTAACTTTGGTATTAATTGAAGTTGGCCATCGAAGTTGAAAGTCCACTGAAGCATGAATCACAGTCTACGGCAGTTTCAAAGTGTGTCCAAAAATAAAGGAAAGTCCTAATTTTTTGTCAATATATCGAGTCGGGTGTTGCATGAACTGGAGTGGAATGAATTAACATTCCCTGTGTGGGTATCTATATTGTATAAAACTGTATTTAAGTCCTTTTAACCTTTTTAACATTTTGCCAACGATTAAAGTATCATACTCTAATGCCCATAAATAGTTAACTCACTTTGAAAGCAAATGTTTAATTCAATGACAGGCATGACTGCATTCACAGCTCCGATTTCGTATTGTGAAACCTTTGCAAATTACTTTCAGCTGAGCAATTATTCATGAATGTTTATTTTTGTGGCCTAGGCACAAAAAACCAACAATAAATTGAAAAGGTATTTGATTAATTTTAAAGATCGAATCCAGCCACGGGCATTACAAAATTAAAGACCAAATTTACATGACGTCTCCTGGCTATTGTTCGCTGCGTAAACATTTGTTAAGTTGACCTTTTTCAGGTGTTTATGCTGCGCAAACAAAGCTCGGCTCAACGGCTAAAAAATGGCCATAAAATGGCTTTTGACAAATGACGCACTTCCTGTCAACGCACACAGTCACACAATCCCACACATGCACACAGTTGTCCTTTATCGGAAACTTGTAATAAAAAAGGTCGAAACAATTGCTGCGCGTTTAAACATGAAAATGTTCACATAGTTGCACAGTTCAACAATATAATAATTCATTGTGTGAATTTATTTATGAATGCATCTCAAATATTTAATATGCACAAACGGCAGTTTGTTTAAACGTAATTTAGCGGAAAAATGGAAACAGATGCGGAATTTATTCTACAGTATTTAGTTTACTGCCCGAAGCGATATAGCTTTTTTGAGCAAAATTTAAAATTAATAAGTTAATATAAAACAAATTTCCTTACAGCTCAAAATACTCGTATAACGCAAGCCAACACATTCTTTCGGCTAATTAATTACACAAACGGGCAATAAAACGGATTTAATTGCATAATTAAACTTATTGGTTGTGTATTTTTCATAAAGTAATTATATCTCTGCATTGCAAAGAGTAATTGCAAAAATAAATGTGCTAATTAAACCACTTGCAAATGGAATAAATAGCATTATTTACTTTGCCATTATAACCCTAGCAACCCAGACCTAAGTCGGTTTTCAAAAGATATTCAACACGACGCTTTTCCTTTGGTGTCATTTGAAAGAATTTCGAGACATAGACTTTTCAGCTCTTGCTTGGTATGCAGAGGGGGCCAAAGAGTCTTATAGCAAAGCATTCTGAAAAGCAAAGTGAGTCTATCTGAATTTTCATTTTATGCCAGTAGCTTACTTCCTCACAAAATATTGGTCACATGTATTGCGTTGGTTGGCAATGAGGTGCTCCATTTCCTGTAGAAACTGCCTGTCATACTCCTCCTTGGTGTCCATATACCGCACCAAGCAATTAAGATTACTGTGAAATATATCTGTTACAAAAATATATAAGATAAATATACCCGAAAGCGAACTATTGGAAATTCTTAATTTGGTAGCTGGGATTCAAACTAAGATCGGCTTCATCATGAAAACGACGCCTGGGACGACACCACTCGTCCAGTTCCGTTAAGCGATTTGACTTATTGGAAAGCAAGGAATTCAAGGAATTGGTCCTGCCCTTGGCGATGAAATCCTCCACCTTCTTTGACCTAACCTCGGCCTTGGCCAGCGACGTTTGGCTGGGGCGGGAAACAGGAATCTTCTTTCCCCGCAGGACATCGCCAAAGGAGGTGTTACGCTTAATGGGTTTCAGACTAGAATCCGACATATTGAAAATTTTTTACTGTCCAACGGAAATTTATGGCAAAACGACATACAAGTCTATTTGAGCTATATGATATGGCATACCTAAGTGGGCTACACTTTGATTCGACAATTAATGCTTTAAAAAATATGCCGCATAGTTGTCAGTGTCAACAATATAAGTGTCCTTTGGGACTCCATCCTTTAAGCCGCTGGTGTTAATTAATAATAATGAAAATAGCCGAGAATATCATGTGGATTTATCGGTCGATATCTGGAAACAGGACGGGCTGCTGCATTTTATTTACAGAACCATTCACATTGGCATTTCAAAAATCATTCATTAATTTTTTAATTCAACAATCAGACTGGTGCAAAGAGTCGTGAAAGAAAAACAGCAAAAAATCTCTGTAAAAATATCACATGCAATTAATGCAGACAATATGCATGCAATTATGGTAAGGGATATGCATGGTAAAAAATAATCACAACCAAATTTACACGAGAGTTTCGATCCCAAAGATTACCTATATGATATAAACTGTAATTATCTGTTACGGGAATTAACTGCAAATCAAAGTTCAGTGATGGATTCTTAGTTTATCACCGTTTGCCGTGCTATGAACATCTTTCCACATAAAATAAAGTTGGAGTTGCACTTGTTAATCTACCCAAATTTGCAACCATTATCCAGGTGTTCACAGAAATGAAGTTCGAAAATATTCCACACATTTTCGCTCCATTAAATATGCATTCGCGCGTTTAATTTAATTTTCCGAGCGGCTCCGAGCTGACGGAACCGAAACATCAGCCGGACCACTAGAGTGGCCCACTGAAAGGGGAATAGGAGCTGCCGCCGACAGGAGACCTGGCCACATGTTGTTTGCCCAGCAAAAACATGGACCGAAATGCTGTGTCTATTAAGAGCACATTTAACCAAAGCCCGGGCTCTGGCACGTGTGCAATGAAAACAAACGAGCCCATTATTGTTACACTTTTCTTTGGCAACCCGGCCGTCGAGCCCATTAATGATGTGTTATGGCCTCAAGAGGCCGGCCTAGGCGATCCTTGAACTTTGTCTGGTCAAAGCGCCTCTGAATTGAACTCTAATTGCACATAATGAATTGCACACATTAGGTCAACGAACGGTCCGGGCTGCCACAAACTGCCTAATGGAAATGCAATGAACTATTTATGGGCATTAGTAGCCAGCAATTGGCTGGCTAAAGTTTGATCACGCACACGGATTATTAAAGTTCAGATTTCCCCAGTTTCTCTTTAAAGTGCTCACCAAAATCTGTGGCTCTTTTCCCCTGGCTTTTCGGACTCGCAAACATTTCTGACGGCCACAAAATTGACAGCAAGTCCCCACAGCGCGTAATGACAAAACACTGACTAAAATGTTAACAGCAAATCCAATTTATTACACCGAGCGGCCGGTGTCGGACATTAATTAGCAAACGGGACACGTAAAAGGTATTAAATGCAAACTCAATCTGGCGACAGGGAGGAGGCCGAATATCAGAGTGGTTGATCAAATCTGGTGATGGTGATACAAACACAGCGTTTGGGGAATATCGAGAATGACCGCAATCTGCGACAAATTCCCGCGGAGCGTGTTTAAAGCTTTAGTGATTTTATTTAATAGAAATTCGATAATATCGGCATTAAACTTTATTCATAAAAAACACTCTACACAAACAGCACGCATTAAAAATATTCAATGGTCAATGGTGAATGGGAGTGTAAACAACAACATTTAATGCCATACGCTAGGGGATTACGAGTGTAATTATATGCCATTTTGACATGAAATCCAAACCAGATCAGGAAATTGATTTCAGGGATGCCGCTGCTGCGGAGTCCATTAAGGAATTAAGTTTACTTTGCACTCTGCCAATATTTTTAAAACACATATGTATGTTTGGCAATTATTTTACTTCGTTGCTTCCGGACTTTGGAATAGCAAAGTAAAACAATTTCACTTATGCACAAGTATTTCATTTTGTCACACAAATTCATCTTAAGCCCTCTCGCTCCAATGTCCTCGCTCCTCGCTCCAAAATCCTGCAATTCAGATATAATCTCTGTCAAACCCACACACATTTGCACAGATGTTTGAGCAACTCAACTGAGACTTAAGAGATTTTGCAGCTTCCTCCATTGTTTCTGGGTCCTTGGTCAACTTTTAATTTATTTGATTACTGCGAAATTGCGCACCTTCTCTAGTTGAGGAAGCATCAGGACGGCTTCCATATATAGTTTTGCAGGCAATTAATTTCAGCCATGGCTCCGAGCATTATTCACTTCGAGGCGGACGACATATTTTAATTTGATGGAGACCTAATAGGGTTTCGAGCATATGTTCACAGCAAAACTTGTGAAAAGGGAAAAACTTTAAATGCAAATGACTTGGCATATGGCTGAACTTGTACCACCACGATGGCGTTTCGGATGAGGTTCTGAGATGAGTTCTGTAAGTTGAAGACTTCGCTCTAGCAAGCAGACAAATAGTCTGACGGATTTGGGTCGAAATCAGTCGTTGGAACACAAAGCCAAGTTCCACTGAGTCATCAGGTTAATTCAATTTGAGTTGTAAGCAAATTTTGCACAAATTAAATGCACAAACTTTTGCCATTGACAGACGACACACACGCCAACCAAGAGCAATAAATTTCCGAAGTGTTTATGTAAACGACCCCGGTTTGTTGTGTGGAAACAGAAAATGAAAGCCATCGTCTGGCTGCACTTTGTCACCAGGCATGCGGAACATAATGCCGATTTTTTCGCCTGGAAAATGGCAGGGCGATAATAAATCTTCCGCTTGGAACAAATCACAGCAATTCCATTATATACACATTTAATGATGTTGCCAGCCAAAGCCGCCAAATCCGAATCCAAATCCAAATCCAAAGCAACGAGCCAGAGACAATTACTTGCAGCCCGCGAGCATTTTCTACGGTTTCTTGCACAGAAAAAAATCATGAACTAATACTTATGCTTTTTATTAAATAAAGAAGAATGTTTTTTGAGCCTAAAAAATCTAGTTTTTGTTAAAGTTTATTATATTTTTCGCTTAAAGGCTGAAAGAAAATGTTTAAACATGAAAAGGAAGAACGATTTATGGATATTGTATGCTGAATGTAAAATAAAATTATGATCTATGTAAATCATAAATATTCTGGAAAATGTAGGTATATATATTCAGAAAATTATCTTTGTCTAGAAAATTCTCATATTTTTTGTGTGTGTGTCAATGGTGCAAATGGCTCTTTGGGTCTTCGGCAAGTGCAGCAACATGGCCAAGTTGTTAAAATAATCACAAGGAATGGCCGACCAGCCCAGGGAATTTTCCAGGACAGTATAGAAGGGATGTGAAGGGATTGCCGGAGCAAAGACAAAGTTGCAGTGGAGCACTGTTGCTGCGATTATTTTTAATTAGCAAAATTTCTTTATGCATTGACAGTGGCAGAAAGGTAGCGGCAAAGTCTTTCATTAATTAGAGTTGGCCGCAAAGTATGCAACGCTTTTTGTTGTCTTCGCTACTCACCAACACACTAAAAACGAGTGAGAATAGAAGGGGAAAGCACCCACATGTGGGCACTAAACTTTCGCACCTGCCTAGCCTCAACGTCATCACCTCTGCTTTATATTTACCCATAAATCTGCCACGAAATAGAACAGCAGGCAAAGAGGCAAAAAACGGAACGGCGACAGAGTTTTCCCCCAGGAAAAATATTTTCCACCGAAGCTGCTTATTAGCTTTGACATTCGAGTGCGATGCACTCTGCCCGAAAGGTGTTTCGCTTGATGTTTTGCAATCTTCTTTTTATTATCCGCATATACATCATTTTTTAGGGGTTTACATAAAACATGACGCAGGCGGGGACGGAGATGGAGGGGCAGCATAATTTATTACTCGCTCTCATGCACTTTTTAAAGTTAAGCGAACATGGCATCATTTGTAATAACGTGGGTGCTCGAAGTACGTATGGAAGTCTTGGTAGAAATTTGCAAGGTATAGATCAACATTCTCTTTATCATGATTTAAATTTTATCATGAATTAAATTTAAAAAATGAAACCAAACTCTTTTTTTTAATAGCTTGCCATTTGTCTGCCTATAATCATTTTAATACATTTTCGCATTACTGAATATTTTAAACAAAATTCTAATAGCACATTAAACAATGGTGATATTTAAGGGAAATACAAAATCAAAATCCCTAGCCAGGTATTTAAAAGTCGCATTTTACTTGAACCTTTTAAGCACTTATCTGTTGGATATTTTGTCAGCAATATTTTGGGAATATGTCGTATGGAAATGCATAGTTGTCTCAAAGTTTTCTGATAAAAGTATCGTGTCCGGTGACCTCAATGCGACAAGTTATGTCCGACTTTCAAGCTCCGTTGGAATTTGGTCTTGGCCTGCAACGCCATAACCCCGGGCTAAGCATCGAGTAGCCAGCTAACCAAAAAATATCATAAAACTTTTCAACTTTTCCATTTCACTAAATGTGTATAGGAATGCGGGCCGAAAGTGATAGGGGAAAAGGAAAGGGAGCTTCTGGACCATGTCAAGAATGGCTCGCTCACGTTGCGTTGTTGACCGCATCACGCTCCAGAGCATAAAGCAATTACAGCGCCGTGCATTGAATCCTGGCGCTCCTTCAGATACTCCAGTCCTGGTGCTGCACGCACCTCCCGGCGGCACTTTGATTTATGAAATTTTCCGAGCATCAGCCCTGGCTCTTTACACCAGCCAACATCCTCAATGGGTTCGGCTTTGGGGTTTCGAGCGGAGCAGATTTGATTTCCAGTCAGTCATTGACTTGACTTGACTTGACTGGGCTAACCAACTTTTCGACGCCACTGGCATGTGTGCCTGCACAGGGGAAAAATAAATATCAGCTTGAGAGTTCTAAACACTTTCTGGATTTTTATATCTCAAAAATAAACATGTCTCTGCGATATGGGTTCAAAGTTCAGCGACACTCAAAATAAATATATTTCTTAACCTCCACCGCTATTTATTTTATTTTACTTTTATCATTAAGGTCT